CCCGCTGCTGGTCAGTTTCAGCAGCTACTGAATCAGGGACACCTGGGGCAAAGCAGCTGGGGTGCTGCCGGGTTGGTCCCGTAGCGCCGCCCCTCGGCGCTGCCGGGTTGGTCCCGTAGCGCCGCCCCTCGGCGCTGCCGGGTTGGTCCTGTAGCACCACCCCTCGGCGCTGCGGGACCAACCCGGCAGCACCCCAGCTGCTCTGCTCCTGGCTTCCCCGATTCAGCTGCTGGTCAGTTTCAGCAGCAGCTGAATGGGGGAAGCCTGTCCGGCTGCCCCAGCACTTCTGGGTTCCTGATGGTGCCGGACCATCAGGAGTCCCGGAGCATTGGATGCCGGACTAATGGAGTTTTAATGTATTTAAAGATTTGGTCTCATCTAATAAAATTGTGAATGGTTTCTGTTCTAAACATCTGTGAAAGTCGTCTGGGTCACAAAAGACTTTTATGAATCCTATTCAGTATGCTTTCCTCCACATTCTAATGGCTCTCAAAAGTAAAGATTTCTGGTTTCTGACACATACCAATTCCAGGAATTGCTCGTCCTGATTCTTTGTAGGCCTAGTGTTTCTTTATGTAATGATTAAAGACGGTGGGTTAGTTAGTTTGGTTTATATAAGTCAGAATTAATCCAGGTCTGAGCTGGATTAACAGGCACACAAACTCAGACAGCTGGTGTAATGTTTACAATTACGACTTCTACCCTAAAAAGATTTCTCAGTTATACCTAGTCCTGTTCTTCCTAGATTTATATGCACGTGTTTAAATGGTAGTAACTTACATTGCTTATAGTACTGAACATGGAGGAGTTGTATGTAAGCAGTTCAAATGATGATGTAAACAACCTCCTTCCAGATTGGCTTCCCATGCTTTTTTACAGTGGTTCACATATTTCAATACATAAGTGCATAAAATCCCTAACCACCTTGTCTTTAGTTCTTTGAAAAAAGAAATCATGAAGGCTGGCCCAGATAGTACAGGATGTTGGGAAGAGTCTAGCAGAATGAGAGGACAAGTAACATGCAGTGGCAGCGTTGAGGGTCATGGACTGCTGAAACTGCAGTTAGAAGATGGATGGAGAAGATCTAGTACAGCAAGAAGAGTGTTAGGCAGAGACAAGCTGTAAGCTGCTAGAGAGAGTTTGGTGGAAGTGGAAAGATTCAGGGCTAGGGGAGACTGTGAAAGCAAGTTAATGAAAGGCCCAATGTCGCCTATGTCAGTTGAGAGCTGACCAAACTGATTTTTCAGAAACAATGAGCAGTCCTGTGGCATCTTAGAGACTAACAAATATCTTATATCATGAGCTTTCATGGGTAAAACCTACTTCATCAAATGAGTTGGAGTGGAAATTACAGAATCCAGAGTATATATAACTTATACTTTAGACAGTGATGAGGCTATGTCTAGACTGGCATGATTTTCCTCAAATGCTTTTAACGGAAAAGTTTTTCCTTTAAAAGCATTTGCGGAAAAGAGCATCTAGATTGGCATGGATGCTTTTCTGCAAAAACACTTTTGCAAATGTGGCTTTTTTGCACAAAACAATACCGTGTTTTCTACACTGGCCCTCTTGCGCAAAAGGGAGTAGCATAGCATTTCCTCAAACACTGACAACCTTACATGAGATCGTCAGTGTTCTTGCGGAAATTCAAGCGGCCAGTGTAGGCAGCTGGAAAGCTTTTCCACAAAAGCAGCTGCTTTTGCAGAAAAACTTGCCAGTCTAGACGCAGCCTGACTGTAAAAACAACCTTCTGCAAAAGCTCTGTTCTTCTTAACACTGCGTGAAAGAGATGATGCCAGACATGTCTAAGGTTCTACAGCCCACTGCTAGAATATTTCAAGGAATCCCTGTAAATGTTCTCCTTAGTTCCCCATTAAATGTGACATTAAGGATTTGTTATAGTACTGTGGCCCAGATAATAGAGGCTCTGTTGTTGTGTAGCATCTCCAGTAATCATGATCTGGACACATGCACCAGTGGACTTGATTCTTACACCTCAGACTAGCTTGGTGACTGAGTTTCAGGCAGTGTCATTCTCAGACACCCCAAATGCATATAGTTAAAGAATTCTCTTTTAAGCCTGACAGCCAGCCAGCTAGATGAAAGGGATAAATCTTGCAGTGCTCGGGGCACTTTTGATGGATTTTGGGCAATCCTCAATCCAGTCTTTGTTCCCTGGAAGAGAATAGTTGCAACAAAATGTTTTAAGGGGACTGAACTAGGTTTACTTATTCTACGTGGAGGGAGCGGAAACTGGAATGAATGACTTCTGCTGCATTTAATTTGAGAGTGGGGGAATGTTGAGGGTTTTTTGAAGGATAAAAAAGGTTTCTATCTTCACTTACCTCACCCCCTCAATTGTTTTTCTGTCACTAATTGTGGGCATTTTACTTTTTCTTCATGAGTTAATGTTTACAAATTTTGATTTTTGTTTTGAGGATCTGAAAACCCCCTTGATTCGAACACAGTTGATAATTCCTACAATGAACAAGAATCTATTCAGAATCAGAAAAGCCCTTTGTCAGAGTCTACAGATGAAAAGCCTTCTGAGATGTCTTTACCACTCACTCTTCCCATTGGGACTGAAGACCATCAGATGCTGTTGCCTCTAACTGGTAATCAGTCTCCTTCCTCAGACTCATTGCTGAGATCTGCTGTGACTGGATATTCAGAACCTCAGTTTATTTTCCTGCAGCAGTTATACTGACTTTTTGTGTGAGATGGGAACCAACAAAACAGTTTTGGTAGTGAACGCACATGTTGGTAAAATGAACGTAATCATTCAAGCTGTTGGATTTACTCTTAATCATTCTTTTCAGAGAAGACATTTGGTAATGTATCTACACTGTGTAGTGCTGTTTCTTACTACTTGTTACATTTTGCTAATCTGGAATCATAGTTATTGTAATTGACCACTGACATTAGGAGGAAATACTGTTCCAGAGCACCTGCCTTAAGAATCGTCTGTTAAATAGACATGTAACTGTACTCTGGAGCTCTCCTCCAACGCTTATGCCGAGATAGTCTGTTACAGTGTCATTTGTGAGCAGACTTTCAAGCCATATTTTCATTTCTGTTAATTAAATACCTTAACTCGGAGTTGTGGTCTTTGTAGAAAAAAATTTCATGACCAATTTATTAAACACAGGCTCCCACACTCCAGGACACTGTAAGAGGAGTATATGATGGCAACCAGGCCAGTTCTCTGGTGAAATGTTTTTGAAGCATTATTGGTGTTAAACAGAAGCAGCAATTTGCCAGTCTGAGACTAGATGGAAAGCTTTGGACAAATGCCACTAATAGGGGAGGGAGGCTTTTTCCTTGAGCAATGATTTAGAGTCTAGATAGTATATACAGTAGCCTTTCCTTTTTCAAGGCCTGGATTCACATTCAAAAGTGACAAGCTATAATCTCTCCACATCTCCCAAACATCTAGAGTTTGAAAAAGGAGCAGTCTTCTGCTTAGGACAGGTCAAAAGAGATAATTGATCTGTCCTTCAGCATTCAGCATATTAAGATTATTGTAGGTAAGAATGTGTGTTGAGTAAGCTGTAAATAGACATCAGTAGCACATGTCTGACTTTCATCATTATAGTTATTCATATTGTAGAGCCTAGAGCTTCCAGTCAGGATCAGACCCCTTTTGGTTTAAGCATTTTACAGAGACATCAGAGGAGAGAGATTTTGCCCTGCTGCAGAGTTTATAATAAATGAGCGATACGTTTACTCTAAAAAATTAAGTGAAAGCTAAAAATGAAGGTGTTTTAGTAAAGATTGACCAGAGGCCATAAACTTTTGGGCCACAATAGGCTCTTAATATTCCATTACAGAATTTGGGCAGGTATAATAGAAAAACATTTAATTAAAAATAAATGCAGTGTTTGTTTACTGCTTTATTTCTTATGCCAATAGTGCAGTTTTAGGCAGTTGCTGTCTTTTGTAGCAAGACCTATGTGAAAAAGGGATGTTTTTATGCCAGCTGTGTGGGGTGTTTTTTTCCGTTTAACAGAAACTTGTGCTGGGGTTGGCGCACAGAGCAGAAATTAGTCTGTTCAATTCCTCTTTGTCGCTTCTGTCTGCTCTATAAGGTGCTGAGACAAACTATCCTGCCCTTTCTGCTAAGGGTCCTTCTTAAGGTTTCTCTTGGGCTTTTTACTTCCTCACACCAGTTGGTTTTCACTGAACAGCTTTATGTGGAATCTTTGTGTTGGCATCCATAGTACATGTCCCAGACATGATCAGGGCTTCCTTTTGAGTCTCATGGAAATGAGTTGATGATTTCATGGATCTTTTCATTGGTAATGAAGACTCTTAGTGTCCAGATTCTTTCATTTTCTGCCTAACCATTTGGTAGGATTACCAGCTGTCACAGCCACATATTAGACTGAAATTACATTTGAATTGAAAATTCTGATGCTATATAATTGATTTCCATATTAAGATTAGTAAATACTATACGTCTCTTTCCCATTCTTGATGTCACTTCCTTCTTGAGATGTCCATTGGTCAGCGTGATGCTGCCCAAGTAGATGAATAGGTTTTATTTTCTTGGTAGTTTTGCCTTCTAGGTTTCAAAGATGTTTGTTGTTAGCATGAGTAATTTTGAGCCATGATTGGCCTGTTGTTTTTTGCAAGGTTGTCTGTCTTTATTAGTAATGTTTCCTCAGTGTTATTCAGCACAATATTATCAACAAGAGCTGGCCAAAATATGGCCCATTGGCCAGATGCAGCCCGCCAAGCCAGCAGCACAAAGGACGCTTCAGTCAGGTTCTCTGCCAACCCTCTTCTCTACACCGCTCAGAAAAACTGGGTTCAAGGCCCAGTTTCTGTGAACAGCTGCAAGTCTGAGGCTCGGCACGCTTCCCCCCAGCACAATCTTGTAACTCCCATTGTTTGAAGAACAGGCAGCACACGAAGCACCCAATCTTCCCCTCCGCTTGGGCTCAAAACTGTTCACAGATGCACAAAACCCCACAGCTGGCTGCTCTGAGCAGCCTGCCAGGGCATGGAAAGCAGGGAACCTGCCGGGTTGCTGGTCTGGAGTTGCCCAAGTGTCTCCATGCCAGAGCCTGCCTCTGCCACGCAGCCCTTCCTTCCCCCCCCCAAACCTCTGCTTCCCCCATCTCTCCCCTACCTCACATAACCCAAATCCTGTCTCCCATTCTCCAGTCCCAGACCCTGCACCCAAATCCGCTGCCCCAGGTCACAACCACTCCCTTCACCCAAACTCCCTCCCTGTTCCCACACTGCTTCCATATACCCCATTCTCTTTACCCTAAATTCCCTTCTGCAACCAACCATCCCAGATACTGCACCTCCTCCATTAATATCATGGAAGAGTGTGGTCCTTGACCATCTACCACATTCTTGGAGTGGCCTCCCAATAAAAATTATTGACCACCCTAGTCTAGACTTTCTAGACTTTTGCCAACTCCCCATGCTATGCCAGTGTTAGCATTGCTAATACATTGCTTCAATATTCAATCTATGGCAATATTCGGTCTATGCCAAATAGGAGCAGCAATAAAATGCCTTGTTTTATGTTATTGTCCATACTGAACCATTCAGTTGTTGATTGATGGTTTAGCCTTGCAGAGCACCTCATATCTCTGTGTATGGTCTTGATGGTGATTACAACTTTAGCTGGGATTCATAGGACTAAAGAATGAATAGTCCATAATATATGTCTACTTTTGAAAAAAATAATCAGTGAAATTGTTCTGGGCAGTTTGCCACTCTAAATCCTCTTCTGTGCTTGTCCTTAGCTAAATATCTGGTCTACACAGAATCTCTTGGGCCTGAATTAAGCCTGTTTTCTAAGCTTTGCACCCACTGCCTCTTTCAACCCATATAGTAGGGCCCTACAGAAGGCATTCCTTGCAACAGAGTAGTGTATCCCCTCTCCAGTTGTTAAGGTCAGTAAAATCACCCCTTTTTGGATATTCTGATAATGATTCCATGCTTCCACTGGTCGATAGGGAAGAAGTGTAACCATTTAAATGGTTAACATATAAGCATCAGCTTATTGGTTTCTGTTACGGTTACATACCGGTTCCCGCTCCTCGGGTGCCAGCTGTCATCCTGCATTGTGGGCTCTGCAGTATAGTTATACCACAGAGTCCACAGGGAAACTGGCTTCCAGGAAGCAGGGCTGGGAGCTTGTGTGACTCCTGGTGCATTCCGGTTCCCAGCTCTGTTTCTGGAGAGCTGGCTGCGCTGCAGTATAAGGATTATATATAAGTTTTATATTGCAGAGCATGCAGTGCATGTGACTGTTTAAATTTGTAATGGTTATACCATTACATTTTTAACTGATTTCTTTTACATCCCTATTGTCAGGAGACTTTTCTTTTCCCCGAACTATTGAAAACGTCTGTCAATTTCATTAATGGGATGGTATCAAATCCTTTTAGCATTTCTGGAGCGATTTGATTATCTGCTGCTGCTGCTTTTTTATTTGTTTTCAGTTTGCTTATTGTGGGCCTTTACTACTGTCATCTCTTTTGGACTAATGTTAACATCAAGTTGGTCAGGTTTGCATGTTTAAATGGAAGTTTGTTACTGAAGTCAGCTTTGGTCTGTTGAGGCCTTCTTTGAATGCTCTGTCCATTTATTTTTTCTGTTGTACCTTAGTAGTAAACATTTTCTATCTTTGATTTTATTGGCCTGTTTCTTATTCTGAAATTGACATGCAGTATTTTAGTAACTTGGTAAATAGCTCTGATAACCCTAAAGCTGCTAGATCTTCAGTGTATTTTCTAGGGGGGTAAAAATCGTGTCATAGGGAACTGTGTAACTGCTGAAAATCTCAGCGGTTACATGGTTACCTGCACTGCAGGCTCTGCAGTATAAAGTTTATAATGCAGATCTAGCAGGTGCAAGCAGCCCTTGCTTGCCTGGCTACTGGGGAGGGGGCTTTACTGCTGGAGCAAAACCATCTGCCTGGCTTCTTGGGAGGAGACTTCACTGCTGAAGAGAAGCCTCTTCCCCATTGGTTAGCCCTTGCCTTCCTGGCTCCTGGGAAAGAAGCTTCGCTGCCCTCCCCGGGAGCTGGCTGAGTATAACCGATACCATTAACTGATAATCCGTAGTATTTTCATTCATCTGCCTTTCTGTCGCGTTTTACCTCTCATCTGCTTTTGTGCACTCCTCTACATTTTCCAATCCTCTGGTTGATTTTATCATTTAGGAATTTTCTTTTAATACCTTTTCATCCTTTTAATACCATTCATGAGATGCCATATCTCTTGAGTTATCCAGTTCTGTCTGTCTCTCTTGATACCCAACTGTGGCTAGTGCAGTTTGAATCACATTGTAAACCTGGCCGAAGGAGATTACGTTAGCTTCCTTTAAAACAACAGCAAAAAGAAAACCAAGCAACTTCCGATTTCTGATAGCAACACTGCTTAAGCTCCATCGTGATTAGGGGGAATCTTTTTATGCCTCGCCAAGCCAATCTTAAAACTGTCAAGAATCGTTGAGCCACAGAGGCATGTTTTCTCCAGTCAACCAGCACTAGTGATATTAAGTGCATTCTTTGTTGATTGTTGATACCATTTTATCTGTATTGGTACTTTGTGTCCAGGCCTTGGTAAACAGTGGATTGTAAAAGATGCCTCTTAATATTCCTACTCTCCACCATATCTTCACCTGAATTAAAAGGGCTTCATGAAACATTTCTTAGTAGATTTCTTTGAAATCCTCTGAAGAGAGGTCCTTAGTTCCTTGGCATGGCTGTTTTTTACTTATTGCTTTCTTAATCCATGTGTCTGTTTTTGTCTTTGTACCTTTTCAGTGAAATAAACCTTTCATTTTTTTTATTTATCATTTAAAATGTGGCATGTGTAATACTAGTTTTGATTGTTTAATGCTTAATTACAAGTGGTCAGTTTACTGGTGGGGTTACTGGACGTTATGAAGTACAACCAAGTCTCCCCCCTGCCATTGCTTCCTGACTTTCACTCTCTTCACTTTGCTCGTCTCCATCATGTTTATGCCATAGCATTTGCCAGCACCTACTGTCATTTTACACACTGGTTTAGGACATTGGAGAAATTGTTTTAGGTTTTCAGTAGTGCAGTGTGGCTTTTTGCATTCTTTTGAAATCTGTTTTTTCCTCGTAATCTCTCACGGATTCTTTGGCCAACTGGCAATTCTATGACTGAAGAAGCGTACCAAAAAGCAGGGTCTTGAATATAAATGACAAAGGTTTACTCCATGTAACCAGATCTAAGGCAGCAGTTACTGACCAAAAATACAGCAAAGGCATAAAGATGAATACAGTTTTAATAATTAGTTTCGCACAGAAGCAAAGCTCTGCCAGCTCTTATGGTTATACTGCTATTTGGCAAGTTCATCTTTAAATGTATTAAAGTACATCTCTTCTGATGTGTTACTACTTCTTTTCAAAAAAATTAATTTATTCAGAATTACTGAGTAATGCATATATTACCAGAAGAGCAAACTAACTCTGAGAAACACTTTCCTATATAGAACATGCATTCCATAAGAATATTTGTTTCAACAGTTTTTATATTTCTAAAATTTTAGATGACTACAGTATTCTTAAATCTCAGACTTTTAAAAAAAATCAGGGCTTAGATTTATACAGGATCCAGTTTAGATATTTATAGAAGTGACATTTACTTTATATTACTCATTCAGTTTTCTTTATACACAAGAAGATCATCATTTTTACAAGACAATTTTAAATTTCTCTCCACAGAATGCACAGGTTCTGATAAAGTTGTTCTCTTGCAGCAATAATTTAATGGTCTTCACTCTTGAATACGAATTCTTATCCTCAGCTTAGATGAAAATGACTCAGCTGCTGAGTTGATTTCCTTTAAATATATTAATTTAACATGTAATTTAAAAAAATGTTTGGGTGCTGTAGAACTTTGAAAGAGAGCTATACTGTATATCTATGACAATGCCTGGAGTACTTTCCATGCATCTCTCATTTGGAGGCTTAGTGCTCTCAAGTTCAGTTTTGAGCTGGAAGTTGCATCAGGAGGTTTGATGGTCCATGCTTGTGGAATAGGGGGAAAGCATGGACATCTTAAATAGTCTAATGCAGTTAATAGCCGAATTATCCTCTCTGGAAAATGAAAGTGGGAGCATTAAAATTTCTTTAAAAGCTTGAAAAAGACTTCTAGAGAATATCTCCAGTGTAATTGAGATCCCAAAAAGTCCACTAACTTCAATGGAAGTTTTGCCTGAGGGTTTGACTACTCTTGTAAATTTACCAAAATAGCTAGTTATTCCAGAATGGGTAGTTGTACCAGAATAGCTACTCTGCAATAATTATTTTGTTAAGTTCAAAGAGTAGAAAAGGCCTGAGTAAGGATTGAAAGACTGGGCTTTGAGAGAGGCAGTTGGCAAGACTTACAGCAATATGTCTAGATAAGAACTAGTAATCAATTTGGGTTAAGTTATTTTTGAAGTATTTTTCCTGTATGTACAAAGTGTTTTTCCTTCTGTTATGTGTATATAGTTCAACTCTTTTTTATAATCCCATGTGAGGGTTTTGTATATACATAGGTTGCAGTGTTTATGTTAGACTTTTAATAAATTTGTTTTGTAATTTTCCCTCCGCTTATGCCTGGTGTTTGTAGTTATAGTCAATGAGAGAGAATATATCTAACATAACCATCATAACACACTATGCTATTGTCATAACTTTGCCCTTTATACAACTGTATAGGAGTTATTTAGAAACAATATCATTCACTACATTTTCCTTCCAACAAGAAAAACACAAAAGTCCATCACTACAAGGTAATATTTTGAGTGAAAATGAACAAAAACTATTTTAAAATATTACTTACTGTAATTATTTTGAGCAGTGAAAGATTCAAAGCGGTGTGCAAAACAGTGTGGCTACGTCTACACTGGCCCCTTTTCCGAAAGGCGCATGCTAATTTTCAACTTCAGAATAGGGAAATCCGCGGGGGATTTAAATATCCCCCGCGGGATTTAAATAAAGATGTCCGCCACTTTTTTCCGGCTTGGGGAAAAGCCGGAAAAAAGCGTCTAGACTGGCCCGATCCTCTGGAATAAAGCCCTATTCTGGAGGATCTCTTATTCCTATTTCAAAGTAGCTGCCCCTTGCTCTGGCTGGGAGCTTGGCCAAGAAGTGGTGGTAGCAGGCAGGTTCCCAGCAGGAAGCTGCCAGCAGAACTGAGAGATCACATTGCCCTTTCATGGGGTGGGGCAGTCCTGCTTTGCAATTCCCCCCTTCCCATTAATACCCAGGGTCCTCCTCAAAATTAGGCAGGACAAAATAGCAGTTATACTCATAGCATCAGCATGTCTGGACAGCATTGGTTCATCATGCTGCTGTCCCTGTCAGTGGCCAGATTGATGACACACCCTCGGTGTCCTGACCTCGTAACACAGGACTACAGCTAATTGCAGCTCCCCTGCTTGGAATTGCTCCACCTTATGGCATGGAAGCTCAATAGTTAAATTGTCACAGTTAGTTGGTCTTCCTCTGTTACTCTGTGAGAAGATGGATTATACTGATTAAATGAGTGGTCAGAGAAAGATGACAGAAGCTTGAGACAAGTCTGAAACAGAATATCATGTCTCTTCATGAAAAATGACACCATTTAAGCTCATGCACTTTTATCACAAGAATCCTTTAATCATAGTTTGGGCGTCATTACCAAACTTCTGTTTATCTACAGCAGTGGTTCTCAAACTGCAGACCAATCAGCACACATCTGTGGGCCATGTGACATCATCATGACAATATAAGTAGTATGTACATTATATGGACGTGGCCCATATAATACAGAAAGAGCTATATATGTGACCCACAATAAAGTTGAGAAATGCTGATCTCTAGCATTAATTTGTTACAAAACTTAGGTTGGACTCAGTTTGAATTGGTTTTATCTCTAGTACAATTTTCAAATGTATATTGGTGCACTTCAAATTAACTTACTAAAGAAATTACATACTATCATTTTGCTTTGCAAAGAAATAAGCCAAAACTCTGAAGCTGATGAATATAAATGCATCATTTTGCTTTCTTGTTTACAAATGTTCTGCAACTGCTCTTATTGCAAGACTGGCATTAGCATCTTTGTTATCAACCTCCCCATAACTTGGTGTCCAATAGTAATGCCTTTTAAGGCCATGAGAGAGTTCTGCAAGATATATATGTCCGTCTACTTCATATGGATCCACGTCTGTACAATTTGGTTTCAGGCGGCCAGTTTTAATTAAGTCTGAAAATGCCTGAAATGAACAAACGCAAAGGATTTAAATTTGACATTCTTCTAACACATTCTACCAGCCAGAGGCTTAGAAAATGCAAAGCAGAAATCTAGAAGAGGGCTGGGTATCCTCCAGCCCATAGGCTGCAGATAATTCCTCCAGATTAGCCACTGGCACTCAATGGCATTTTAATTATTTGTATACTTTTACTGTCCTGTGATTGTTTGGTATGAGAAGACCATATCATAACTTATTTTATAATAAACATCAATTTTGCAAATAGCTTTTGTGAGCATACTAGCTGTATAAAATGAAGATAAACTATGGAAAGGGTCACTGATGAAGAAAACACTTACCACACAGGTGGCCTCATCCAATTTGTTTCCCCAAATATAAATGTAGGAAAGCACCATGTTTGTTTTCAGTGAATCCGATAGAGCAACAAGTCCTTTTCCACTTATATTGTTGCTCACTACTGCTAATCTAGTAAACAAGAATTAAACAAATTACATCCGTAAATTCCACGCCATTTGGTTCTTACCTCATAAGTACAGCATGTAGAACAAATCATCAACCTTTTAAGGCCTATATAATTCTAATACTCCTCCTCAAGGCACTTCCTTGCTTTAGGTGGTAAAGACTCTTACAATTAATTTCTTCAAACCAGGTGGACCCTGTGCTTGGTGGCCAGCTCTCGTGGTTGGTCTGCTTTGAAGCATGGCCTTGGCTTCTAGACAAGTTAAACTTTGATTCTGGATTGGGGAAGAAGTATTTTTGCTCTGGTGAACCTGAAAGCTTTTCAGAGGCACCAAGCAGACTCTTTATTCGCAAAAACTAATGGCCTCAGGAAATATCTATGATCAGCACTTACATCCAGCCAAAGTATATAGTTTTCTGCAAGACATGGTATTTTATAGGAGAGATTAGGCAATCTCTTGGTGAACCTGAAATAAACTTAAAAGGGATTTTCTTTAAGCCTTTTTTAAGGCCTGAAACAACAAACAAAGACTCTTATTCTTGCAGTGTGTCATTCTGACTTAAATGGCATTCTGTGAAGCAATTAGGATTCTTTTTTGCAAATGCTTCTGCAGGAAAAAGCCTAGATCACAGCTACTCAACATGCGGCCCACAGGTGAGAGTCAAAACAAAACAGGAGTCAATATAACAGTCTTCTGTTGATATGCATTTTAGTAGTTAAATTCCTGGACTGCTATTGCTCAGTAAAAGTGGTGTCATATGGGTGGAAACCTGGGGAAAATACTGCATTTTATTATCAGCAGAACTGACTTAAATGAGGCCTGTGTGTTGTGTAGTTGTGCCTTAATCTTTGTATTCAAGACCATTAGTGTGAAATAAGCTATTTGGATATATATTTGCATGTATATGCAACCACACTTAAGTTGTGGCCCTCAGCATGTGCTGTGAGTGTCATTGTGGCCCCTGGGGCTTCCAAAGTTGAATAGTGCTGGCCTAGACAATCAAAATACTAAATGGGATCAGGAACCAAGATCTGACAGACTGTTCATTAGAGTGACTCAAGATGTGTACTGGCAACCAAATACAATACACAGGAAAATATCAAATAAGATATTGCTAATATCAAAAATATTAGAACAAGCACTTTCCATTAGAATCCACTCTTCTATAGCCTACGGCCCTACTGAATTCACAATACATTGTGGTCAATTCATGATTTCAGCTCTTCAAATTTGAGTGTTCGTATTATAATTGTAGGGGTCCTGACTCAAAAAGGAAATGGAAGGGGTTGCAGGTTATTGTAAGGGGAGTTGCAATACTGCTACCTTTACTTCTGCTCTGCTGGTGGTGCTGCCGCCTTCAGTGCTAGGCAGTTGGAGAGTGGCAGCTGCTGGTCAAGAGCCCAGCTCTGAAGGTAGAGCCACTGTCAGCAGCAGCATAGAAGAAAGTGTGACAAGGTGTGGTGTTGCCATATTTACTTCTGTGCTGTTGCTGACAGATCACTGCCTACAGAACTAGGTGCCCAGCCATCAGCTGCTGCCCCCAGGCTAGCCAACTTTGAAGACAGTGCAGAAGTAAGAGTGACAATATCACGACCCCCCTAAAATTAAGTTTTCTGATTTTCCATGGGTTAACCTGCAGACTCTTTTGGGGAGTTTGATTTATACTAACGCTTGAAGAGTCCTGTTGTACAAAGCCAGGGCTTCACTTAGATAGATGGCGCCATCATCTTCTATCCGGTTTGAATTAAGATCTAGAATTTCCAGAGTTTGGTTCTGTTTCAGCAGTTCTCCCAAAAATTTCACACCATCACGAGTTATTTTATTACTGAAAGAGAAATATTTTTTTCAAAAGGGGGATACTATTGAGAAATCAACAGTGTTACAGGCGGCAAATGCCTCATAGGCTGATGAATCAACTCTTCTGAAATGTACAACTGTTGAAGCAATGTACAGTATGTACACTCTTACTGGATTTTTACTGAAACTGGGAACTATTAACAGGATTACTGGGATTTTTAGAACGCATTCTTTCTATCCATGTGCAGACACTTCCAGTAGTTACAGGAAGCAGGATTAGGTCCTAAATATTACTTTTATTGTATTCTTTCAAATTTGATTGTTTTATATCTTCTGTAGAGTGGCATAATTTTACACAATCAGATTACTATATGCTGTAAAGTAAGTGCTTTTTATTTACTCAAGTGTACAAAACCAGGCTTGTACGCAAGGGGGATGCAAAGGGTGTGAACACAGTCCCCTCAGAGTCCCCCAAATTAGCAAGAGGGGGCTCCACAGCTGTCTTCCAGGTGGTCTACTACACAATCCAAATTGTGGGGAAGAAGTACTCCTCCTCCCCTGGTTGGGGGGGATATAGCACATGGATGTGCTGCCCAGAGGCTTTCCCTGCTGCTCCCATTGGCCAGAATCCAGCCAATGGGAGCAGTAGGATGTGGTGCCTGGGATTGGTGTGGGGGCCCGAAGACAGTGGCCCCCTCACCCTCATACCCAGACTCCTGCACCTCAGCCCCCTCACAAACACCCTCTACCGAGACCCCATACCCCTAGCCTGCTCCTACGCCCTCCCCCCGGCCACGCACCCTACCCCCAGCCTGCTCTTGCATCCTCCGTTGTTTCTGCACCCTCACTCCTGGTCACATACTGAACTCTCCTTTGCTCTTGCCCCCTTTCCCTGGCCAGACATCCTACTTCCTAGCCTGTTCCTGAACCCTGCCTTCCATCCAGACCTTGCCCCCTTCTACACTCCACCTCACAAACAGATCCTGCACCCTCATTTCTCTTTCTGGCAGCCCTGTCCTGCACACTAAACCCTCCCATTTTTATCACAACACCAGAACATAAAGGGTCCACACAATCCACTAACCCTGGAATCCCAGAAGAGTAAATCTGGCCTATGGGAAGTCCTGTCCCTCCCTGTTCCCCAGTGGTGCTGGAGCACCAGAGGAGTGAAGTATCTCAGTTGGGGTCACATCAGTGAGGACTGGGGATTTTGGAAGGGTATTTTTTTCTTCTCATTATTTGTGTGGTCAGTCCCCAACTGATATTTATGTGGGTCAGAGGCCCCAACCCAAAAAAGGTTCCCTACTCCTGCCATGAATAAAGACAATGTTGAAACCTTCTGTGTTGGACATAATATTTTACTCTATTTAAAATGGAGCTTGATAAACTAACATGAGAAAGTTAAAGTGCTTAGTCTATTTAATCATTTAAATTAATATTTCCTTTCTTATTGGTTAAATTAAACCGTTCTCCCTAGCTGCAGCACTAGCAAAATGGCTCAGGCATAATTATGTAATTAATGGCAAGTTTCCATTAGCAAATGGTGGTCCATGGAAAGATTTGCGTTTAGCCAGGTGGTCCACGGGCTACAAAGTTTGAGAACCACTGTGTTAGGGGGATGGGAGAGTGTTGTGTTGCAGGGGGATGGGTGGGCAGGGCTAGTGGCAGTGCGGTAGGACTGTGGGAACAGTGCTCCCCACCTGGCACTGGCCTCACTGAGCAGGTAGAGCAGCAGAAGGCAGATTTGCTGAGGGAGTGGGGGGCCATGGCGGACGCGTTGTCCGCCATGATTCCAGAAGTAATTTCTATAAAACCTTTATTACTGTATAAATGTTTAGTACATTATAGCAAAATCATTTTACCAATCACTCTTTCCACTCAAATTTTTCATTAGCCTCTTTTTATTAATCTCTCTTATACACACTCATTGCACCATTATTTTGAACTCCTTTATATTTAAAAAAATCGCAGCCCACATTTACAAAAAAAAAGCATCTCCCTCCCAAAATTCCTGAATACGAGCCTGTATACTAAAGAATTTAAGGCCAGAAAGGACTATCAGATTATCTGTCTAACCTCCTGTATACCACAGGCATCAGCACCTCCTGGCCACTCTTACCCCAAGCCCAACAGAAATACGTAGACTAAGGTATTAAAGCTCTCAGGAGACTAAACTATTGCATGAGAATGGGTAGAAAAGAAGGAAGGACTGAAATGCACTGAGGCTGAGGCTCCTGGAGGCAGGAAAATGTTAAAAGTGAGATACAGAGCTGACCACATGGTACTTAGGAGAAAAAATTCCAAAGGGAGCCAAGCATTTTACCTGAATCTTACAAATTTAGGATGAGAGTTGTCACAGTGGAGGATGGAGTGCAGGAGTATACTTCTCTTCCCTTCCTTCTGTGGCCCATATAAGAGTTATAGCAGGGTTAATCACCTTTTCTGGGGAGGGTGGAGAATGCTGCACCCTTTAAAGTGCGACTGTCAGTTGCTCTTCCATATACACACAAGGCAGAATGTATTCTGGTGTTCCTTGTGCAGTGACAGAGCTCTGCACAACCCTGACAGCCCAGGCTATGGTTTTAATAATGTTGCACACCCTCTAACCATGACTTCCACCCCCCAACTCTCCATCTCTCAGAGAAAAAAAAATCACATTTTTTCTGGAGAGAACAACAGCAAGTATAATACCCCCTTCACATTGTACTGTGCACACTTTTCACCAGCAACAATGCACTCGATTTGTGTAATTTAAACAAAGCAAGAGGGTGATTCTCTTACCAACTGAGATCAAGATATCGCAGGCTGCAGTTTTCATACAACGCATCACACAATCGTTCCACACCAAAATTCTTCATTTCATGTTTGCACAAATGCAGTTCCATAAGACAAGAGTTATTTTTCATCATTAGAGCTGTGTGAACAGTGGTCTCTTCCTAAAAAAACAAAATCTCAGTTAAACTATTATTTTAATATCAAATCTGTTTTAGAGCCAAACACCACTTGTTGCTCTTTGGCCCCAAGATCAAGTACAACTTTCCCTGAAGTAAATGGTAGATTTTTACACACATTCAAAAGCAGAATTTGGCCTTACCTAATCTTCCTTCTGATGTATTACAACTTGATATACAAAAATCAGGGAACAATTTCTTATTCTTATTTACAGCACTCTATACCCTTGCAGTGTAAATTTCAAGCAAGTTTAACAACTACTAATTCTCCCAACTACCTTGATAATTTCTTTTCCAAGTTTCCATCACACAATGTTTTATGACTTGATACAACTCCCATTGATGTCAATGGTGCAAAACAGGTATCAAGAATTATTTTATGAAGAGCAGAAGTCTTGGAAAAAAGGATTTACAATAGAATAAACCTATATCCTATTTCTATATAAGGCATTGACTTGATTTCAAAGTTACCACTTTTGGTAAAGACAATCATTTATAAAGGGCTTCAGTCAGGTAGAAACAATGGAGAAGCCTACAGATTAAAGAGGAGTGACAGACAAATGGGAAGACTCACATAATCATCATTGGGTGTTGTTTTGGGCCCTTGGCATAGTGTGGTGTTTATTCTGGTCCAGATATTTTCAAACCCATGAGTCTAAAATTAGGCTCCTAAATCCACAGTTAGGCATCTATGGTCCTGGCTACACATGAAAATGTTTTCAGTATAAGCCAAAGTGTGAATTTAAATTGATGTAGATATAACCCCTCAAATGGACACTTACCTCATTTTAAGAGTGACCTTTTTTTGTTCTGTTTATATCACTTACGAAGGAGCGCAAACTACACCAAAAAATCCATTCTTATTCTCCATTTCCCACTTGAAAAGCTCCTAAATAAGTACTGATTATCCAGTTGCCCCATTGAAGTCAACTCAGCACTTCAAAAAGAAGGGTGTTTCATGTGCCTAATTTATGATTCAAGAGCTTAACATTAGGCAAGGAGATATGAAAATCTTGGCCTCACAGTCTACAATCCTTTTTGTCTCTTCCTCATGCAGAAAGATTTAAAGTACAACTCTAGCAGCTCTCACACAGGCATATAAAAGGAGCCCCAGAAAGTCATACTGTCCATGACCACTGTAGGTCCCATAAAGCTATCACTATTGATTATGTGTATGCATATATCTGTTTATATATCTGAACTAACTCTACAGTATATACACATACCTCTTGGCTGTACAGTATAGGACGATTTAGGTTTAGTGCTTTTATCGCTTTATTATGGCTCATAACTGTTGCTATTGCTATTAGACTTTGTGTACCCTGAAAACAAAAATAGATGAATTAGTTAGAGAAACCTATTCAATATATAAGAAAGCAACATTAAAGATAGCATGCCTCCTTACAGGATGTATTTTTAGAAGAGCACAAATATCAAATTGACATGAGTTAGAAATACTGTTATTTTTCACTTCATACGTCTTAGAAATACTGAATGGTTACCTGCTTCTGCAGTATTGCACTACATACAAACATTTTCTGAAAATACCAGCAGGCAAAGGATGTTAAGAGAGTGGATCTGAATTCATTGCCATGAATTACTATGAGACCTGCTGAAAATAAACAGAATCTAATAAACTGCAGAATAAGAAAACGAACACGAAGGCAAGAAAAATACCTAAGACAGTGATATATGTACATTTATTTGACATTATATTTTGTTTCTTTAACAGAACACCAACTTATATGTGGGTATGTCTACACTACTGCGTTATTTCGAAATATCTAATTTCAAAATAGTTATTTTGAAATATCTTATTTCAAAATAATGCGTCTAGATGCATTTCGAAATAGCATTTTGCTATTTCAAAATAGCGCATCCACACTGATCGGACACTGAATCACATTTAAGGCCGGCCAGAACCAGTTCCGGCAGTCCATCAGGTCAGGAGTTACTTTGTGTGGCTGCTGCGTGAGGCTATCTGAGGCCTGTGCTTAAAGAGACCCCCATGACCAGCTAGTTCTCAAGTTTCCCTGATTGTTTGCCTACCTCTCTGAGGGACAGCAAAGCGTTTTTTCCTCTGTGTGCTCTGGTTGCTCTTACTCAGGACACCACAGCACTCTGCAGCATGGAGCCGGAGCCGCCCCGGGCACTCCGGTGCTTCTCTTGGACTTGTTGCTGCGAGCCTGGCAGCACTTTCTGCAGGCTGCATCACAGGATCTGCAGCAACCCAACCCCCAGGCCTTCTTCCAGACCCTCCTGGGGTATGTGGAGGAGCAGCTGCAGCTCCTGGACACCAGCACGCTGGACACCAGCACCGACTGGTGGGAACAAATTGTTCTGGAGCACTGGGGAAACCAACAATGGACCCAGAACTTCAGAATGAAGAGGGATGCCTTCCTGGAGCTTTGTGAGTGGCTCATCCCTGCTCTGTGGCTACAGGACATGCACATGAGGCCTGCCATTCCTCTCCAGAAGCGTGTGGTCATCACCCTATCGAGGATTTCCACACCGAATAGCTACCAATCCATGGCGAACCAGTTTGACGTGGGGAGATCCACTGTCGGAGCAATGCTCATGTAGGTATGGCAATCTCCGGCCACTGTGCCAGGAGGGGGGGTGGTGCAAGGAGGGAATGGGCTGCTCTAGGGAAAAGGGGGGGAGGTGGTGAAAGTCCCCTCCCTGGGGGGCAGTTTGTTCTGTCCCTCATGCACTAGGGACTGCCCGCGGTGGCCAGGAGTGCGGGGGAGGGAGGGCTGCTACTGGGAGTGGAGGTGTGGGGCAGTGGGCACCCCAGTGACTCTCGATTTTGTGTATTCCTCTGCAGGTGATCAAAGCCATCAACAGAGTGCTGTTCTGCAGAGTCATCCACCTTGCCAATGTCGATGCGGTCATCGAGGGGTCTGGTGCCTGGGCTTCCCCAACTGCAGGGGGGCTATCGACAGGACACACATCCCCATCTGTGCCCTGGACCACCAGGCCTCCCAGTATATCAACCAGAAGGGATACTTTTCCATCATCCTGCAGGCTGTGTCTGACCACAGGGGCCACTTTGTGGACATCAATGTGGGCTGGTCCGGCAGAGCACACGATGTCCGTGTGCCAGAGGTTGCCTGCAGGGACTTTCTTCCCCAACCGCCACATCTGGGTCAGCAATGTGGACATGCCTGTCTGCCTGGTGGGGGATGCGGCCTATTCCCTACAACCTTGGCTCATGAACCCCTACATGGGACATTTCAACCCTTCCCGACAGGCATTTAATGCCAGGCTGAGCAGGGCTCGCATTGTAGTGGAGGGTGCCTTCGGCTGACTGAAGACCTGTTTTAGATGCCTTCTCACCTGCCTGGACCTCTCAGAGCGGAATATTCCACACGTGGTGACAGCATGCTGTGTGCTGCACAATTTGTGGGAGCAGAAGGGAGAGGCTTTCCTGTCAGACTAGATGGCAGAAGCCGACCACTTGGCCGGCCTGTACACATAGCCCCGTACGGCTGCCATCTGGGAGGTCGATCGGGGTGCTGTCCATCTCTGGGAGGCCCTGTGGGAGAGTTTCCACCTGGAGGAGAAGTAACAGTCTCCCTAGTATGCCCCACTGGGGACTTGTGTCTCATTCCTCCCTCGCGTCCTTCCACTTTTCTGATGTAAAATAAAAGACACGTGTTCATGGAAGAGGAAGTTACTCACCTTGTGCAGTAACAACATTTTTCGAGGTGTATGTCCCCGTGGGTGCTCCACTTGAGGTGTTGGGCTCGTCCTGGCGCCACAGGTCGGAGATTCATCAGCTGTGGTCAAGCCGGACCACACATGCGTGGGGCGCATGCTGCTTGCGCTGCCTGTCAGCCTGCGCTGAGTCCGGCTTCCCGCCAGTTCCTCCGAACTGGATCACTCCTGAAAAACATGAGGAGAAACTGCGAAGAGGGGAGGAGGGTGGGTCGTGGAGCACCCATGGGGACATACACCTTGAAGAAACATCGTTACTGCAAAAGGTGAGTAACTGCCTCTTCTTCTTCAGTGCTGTCCCCATGGGTGCTCCACTTGAGGTGAGTACAGAGCAGTAACCTCATCTGCGGAGGTGGGATCAAAGTTAGTATCTGTCTGCTGTGGACAGCACCGCAGAGGCCAGTGCTGATTCTCAAGCAATTGTGTTGACAGCATAATGCTTAGCAAAAATCATGTCCAAAGACCATGTTGCCGTACGGTGAATGTCTTGGATTGAGACTCCTTTGAGAAAGGCTAGAGAAATGGCCGTTACTCTAGTGGAATGAGCCGAAATAGGTATGGACTTATTCCGTAAAGTATAGCAAGTGGTAATACATTTCACGATTATTTTAGATATTCGCTGCGAAGACAATGGTTGGCCCTTGGATCTTCCATCAGAGCGCAGGAAAAGCCGCTGGGATCGTCGAAACGGGTGAGTCCGATCCAGATAAAAAGCGAGCGCCCTGAGGACATCTAAGGTATGTAGATGGGCTTCATGAGCCACTGCATGTGGTTTGGGTTACAAATTCGAGAGTATTATAGGTTCGTTGATGTGGAATTCCGAATTCACTTTTGGCAGAAATTTTGGGTGAGGCCACAGTATCACCCCTTGGTTGGTGAACAGGATATACGGAGGACAAGCCAAAAGAGCTGCCAATTCTCCAACTCGTCTGGCCGACATTATGGCTAAAAGGAATACCACCTTCACTGTGAGAGTCTGAATGTCACATGTGGCTAGCGACTCAAAGGGTGGATATGTGAGAGTGTCCAAAACAAACTCAAGATCCCACAGAGCAGGCGGTTTCCTGTGCGGATGGTGTAAGTTCATTAAACCATTCAGGAAACATTTGGTTATCGGGTGAAACATAATTGAAAAACCCTCAATTGGTTGTCTAAATGCAGAAATCGCCGAAAGATGGACCTTTGGGTAATGGATATGGTGGTCGGCGAAACATTTGCAGTAGAAGAGGAAGCCAGGTCTGTATGGGCCAGAAGGGGGCTATTAGTTTGGATGTGGCCTTTGGTGGCCAGGCTGGCAGCCATCCGCCTGTAGACGGCCGTGTTCCTCCGTCTAGTACAGAGATCATGGATGTTGGCGGCATCCCCCAAACCTCAAACAGATCCATGATCTCTGCACTGGACCAGGAAGGTGCCCGCCTTTTCCGGCCTCTGGCAGGCTCCTGGGAGCTGGCAGACTGGTCCTGGGGAGTGGTGGAGGGCTGGCTGCCAGTGGTTTGCTGGCTCATGCTGTGGCCTGGGTCAGGGGCAGCAGCAGAGTGGCTCTGGGCTGGCAGGCCTGGTGCTAGCCACAAAAGACTATGGCCAGACTCTACCCCTTTAAGGTTTCCAAAAGAGGAAGGAGAGGAGATTTCCTGTTTGTGCCCAGAGTGGCCAGCAGGGCACCCTAGGAAGGGCTGGAGGCCCCCTATTTCGAAATAGCCATTATTCCCTGTCTATACAGTGCCTATTTCGAAATAGCTATTTCAATATAGGCACTATTCCTCATAGAATGAGGTTTACCAATTTTGAAATAAGCCCTTCGCTATTTCAAAATAGCGGTTGGCTTGTGTAGATGCTAAGAAAGTTATTTCAAAATAATGGTTGTTATTTCAAAATAACTTTGCTGTGTAGACATACCCTGTGTTATTTTTTGTAATGTTAGTAATATTACAGGGATAGGAGCAGAGCTCCTCAGGCTAGGGACAGAGTTGTGGAATGCAAGCCTATCAAAGCTAAGGTTAGGGTTTGGGTAGGTGGGCCTCATTGAGCTAGGAGGTGGGTAGTGGAAGGGAGGACTCATTGAGATAAGATTAGGGTTGTGGAGGGTTACAGTTCAGGTGTAAGGCTCAGTGAGGTACAGCTTAGGTTCAGTTGGGTAAGGATCTCCAGGTTAGGGTTCAGGTGGATAAATCTTCAGAGCTATGACTGTGGAGGGTGGGCTTCTCAGAGCTAGAGTTAGTGTTCAAGTGTGATGTCTAAAATGGGCTAGTACTAGAGATGTAGAACAAAGGTTAACTTGCAAGTCTGTAGCCCTCACTGCGCTATGGTTAGGATCGTAGAGTGTAGGGTGCCCAGCTAAGTTTAGTGGTTAAAAGGGTTGGACTCCTGAGGCTAGGAATAGGGTTCTGGGTAATAGGGTTCTGGTCCCATGGTATAGGTTGAGGATAGGGCTGGGTAGGGCTTCCTAGAACATTAGAATGGCCAAATATCCATTTAGCACAGTATTCTGTTTTTGGACAGTAAATGCCAGGTGCCCCAGAGAGAATGACTAGAACAGGGAATCATCAAATGATCCATCTCCTGCCACCCTTTCCCAGCATCTGACAGAGGCTAGGGACACTGTTCCCACCCATCCTGGCTACTAGCCATTGATAGACCTATCCTATCCTCCATGAATTTATCTAGCTCTTTTTAAAACCCTGTTACAGTCTTAGACTTCACATCTTCTGGCAAGGAGTTCCACAAACTGACAGAGGGGAGTACCCCTCTGATACCTGACAAACTGACTGTATGTTGTATGGAGAAATACTTCCTTTTATTTGTTTTAAATCTGCTGCCTGTTAATTTAATTTGGTTACCCCTATTTCTTGTATTATTGGAAGGAGTAAATACCTGTTCTCTATTCACTTTCTCCACACCAGTCATGACTTTATAAACCTTTATCATATCCTCATTAGTCACCTCTTTTCTAAGCTGAAAAGTCAGTTTTATTAATCTCTCCTCATATGGCAGCTGTTCCATTTTAGTTGCCCTTTTCTGAACCTTCTCCAATGCCAAGACACCTTTTCTGAGATGAGATGATGACATCTACATACAGTATTCGAGATGAAGGTATACCATGGATTTATGTAGAGGCAATAATATATTCTCTGTCTTACTCTCTATACATTTCTTAATGAGTCCCATCAGTTTGTTTGCTTTTTTTGTCTGCTGCACATTGAGTGGATGTTTTCAGAGAACTGTCCACAATGACTCCAAGATCTCTCTCTTGAGGGGTAACAGCTAATTTAGTCCCCATCATTTTATGTTGTATAACTGGAAATATGTTTTTCAATGTGCATTACTCTGCATTTATCAACACTGAATTTCATCTGCTATTTTGTTGCCCAGTCACCCAATTTTGTGAGATCATTTTGAAGCTCTTCACAGTCTGCTTTGGACTTAACTATCTTGAGCAGTTTTGTGTCATCTGCAAATTTTGCCACTTCACTGGTTACCCCTTTCTCCAGACTATTTATAAATACGTTGAACAGGATTGATCTCAGTATGGACCCTGGAGTACACCACTAGTTATCTCTCTCCATTCTGAAAATTGACCATTTATTCCTAACCTTTGTTTCCTATCTTTCAACCAGTTATCAATCTATGAGAGGACCTTCCCTCTTATCCCAAGATAGCTTATTTGCTTAAGGACATTTGGTGAGGGGCCTTGTCAAAGGCTTTCTAGAAATCAATGCTATATTCACTGGATCTCCCTTGTCTACATGCTTGTTGACTGTCTCAAAGAATTCTAATAGATTCGTGAGGCATAATTTCCCTTTACAAAAAACATGTTGATTTTCCCCCAACAAATTATGTTTATCTATGTGTCTGACAAATCTGTTCTTTACTATAGTTTCAACCAATTTTCCTGGTATTTAAATTAGATTTACCAGCTTGTAATTAACTTGATCACTTTCAGAGCCCTTTAAAGAAATGGCATCATATTAGCTATCCCAGTCATTTGTTACAGAAAATTATTTGAAGGATAAGTTATAAATCTAGTTCTGCAGTTTCACATTTGAGTTCTTTCAGAACTCTTGGGTGAATGCCATCTCGTCCTGGTGACTTATTACTGTTTAGTTTATCAATTTGTTCCAAAACCTCCAGTAATGAAACCTCAATCTGGGACAGTTCTTTATATTTGTCACCTAAAAAGAATGGCTCATATTTGAGAATCTCCCTCACATCCCTAGGCTAGCATTAGGACTGGGCTGCTTGGTCCAGGATTACTGTTTAAGTGAGCAGGCTTTTCCAGGCTAAGATTAGGGTTGTAGAGGGTAGGGCTCCATGGCTGGAATTAAGGTAGCTGTTGTAGAAGGTATACCCCCTAGGACAAGAACAGGATGCGTAAGGAGGTCCCTAAAATAAGGTTGGAATTGAGCTGTATCAGCCTCTCTGGATTAAGCTTCTGAAGGGTAGTGCTGCTAGGCTTAAGGTGAGGATCATGGTGTGCAGGGCTCCCTAGGCTAGTGGTAGGGTTGGGACAGGTAGCGTTTCAGTGACTGTTAGGCTTGTGGAAGGTAGTTTCTCCATGCTAAGTTTATGGCAGGTAAGTCTCCTTAAACTAAGGATTATGATTCTGGACTGCAGAGTTCCTCAGGCTACAATCTGGGTTAGGAGTGGGGAACACATGGCTCCCCAGGCCAAGGGAGAGGGGCAGGATGGATGAGAACTCACTAAAACTAACACTTCTATTAATTATATTCATATTAAGTGGAGATGCATTATCTTCCATGTGAAAATTATGAAGTGTGTCAAACAGTGAAGTCAAACTAGTGATAGATGCCAATTCTGATCTTTTATTCCTATCAGTCAGACTTCTGTAACACACTGAACTGTCAAAGAGACAATGTCTTTTTACAAGTCAATTATGATCCTGTTTTTATAATCACATATAATGAAGCAGGAGATACTCCCTTAAACTAATTTACTCAAGCACAGAAGTACACTTATCTGTAGTGATTATACCCTCCCACTATGCTTGCTTGTAGTATCTTTAATTTTTGAAGGCATTTTCACATTTTAAGTCATTTTCACTGCAGGATGTACCTTAATGGAGCTGAGTGAGAGTTTTGACCTCTTGAGGTCTATAATGTAGTGTAAAATCAGAGGGAGGAAAGGTGAGATTGAGCCTATGGCTACGTCTAGATTTGCATGATTTTCCGCAAATGCTTTTAATGGAAAAGTTTTCCATTAAAAGCATTTGCAGAAAAGAGCGTCTAGATTGGCACGGACGCTTTTCCGCAAAAGCACTTTTTGCGGAAAAGCATTCGTGCCAATCTAGACGCGCTTTTGCGCAAAAAAGCCCCGATTGCCATTTTCGCGATCGGGGCTTTTTTGCGCAAAACAAATCTGAGCTGTCTACACTGGCGCTTTTGCGCAAAAGGACTTTTGCCCAAATGGGAGCAGCATAGTATTTCCGCAAGAAGCACTGATTTCAGACAGTAGGAAGTCAGTGTTCTTGCGGAAATTCAAGCGGCCAGTGTAGACAGCTGGCAAGTTTTTCCGCAAAAGCACCTGCTTTTGCGGAAAAACTTGCCAGTCTAGACACAGCCTATGTGTTTAGATTGAACAACAACTTCGAATCGTTTCCATTTTGTAGGTAAGTATATTGAGTTTTGTAGGTAAGTATCTTGTAGCCGCACCTCTTTTAGCTTATCAGAGAATTTTGCCTCCAAACCTGGAAACTAAGATAGAGCCACACATACAGGTGATGGACTCTCTGGTTGTGGTAAAGAAGCAGGACTTTGTGTTGAGAGATCAAGTGAGGAATCAGCCTAGGAGGAATAGAAGGGCATATAGACATCTGTATTAGTTAAGGGAATCAGACTTGTCTTGGCCAAAAGGTGAAATGAGAATAACTCTCAATTTGTTTTGTTGAATTTTCAACCAGGCCAAGTGCATCTCACTAGTTGCAACAAGATATTTTATGATAGTTGAAGATATCACAGTATATAAAAAAGTGGCAAAAGATGACATCTCCACTAATTTAAGCACAGGATGTTTATAATATACTTGAAAGATTTTTAGTTTGCAATTCAAGTTGATAATTTTACTTCACTCACCAGATCACAGTCTCCAAGATCTAACTTTTCTAAGGTTGAATTAATTTGCAGCATTGAAGCAAAGTACATCCCACCTTTGTTTTCAATTTTGTTGCCAGTCATTCTCAGGTGTAAAAGTGTTTCATTCCTCTAGGCAAAAAAATTAAAAGGATTTCCCTGAAATGATCTAAGCATTTTACTATAGATATTTTAGTTGTGGCATAAAGACAAAATGTCATCTTCTGTAAGGATCATAGCCAACTGTTAATAGTAACTAAATAGATGCCTATCTTTTCACTAGGACTAGTTGCCTAAGTAAAGTCTACCCAAGAGCATAAAGTTTTGCAAGGGTGGGAGGACACTGAATTATTTATGGCTATCTGTGCTTCCATTATAACCTCTCAATTTTCATGTTTATTAAATAATACCAGACTTGATATGTGTGTCTAAATTGACAGTTTAGATGCAAAATGCTTAAAATAGAGTTAAATCCATTCACCATGATATTTTATTATGTCTGTCACATATTAATAGTTAATATTGAACTATTAATAATAATAGTTAATATTCAGCAATTAAGTAACAGCTGAATTTCTAATGCAAAAAAGTCAGTAGACCTTGATTACTCATGTGAAAAAGGCAGACAAAAGACCTGCAACCTTCTAGTTTTCCGCATTAAAAAAATAAAACTATTAGCTAAATATGTGAAAGGACAGACATTATAATAAAATATAATGGTGAATGGATTTAACTCTATTTGTAAGCAGTTTGCATCAAAGTTACACACTGACTTCAGTGGAATTACTTGTGCAATTAAACTGGTATGCACATCTTTGCATTTATAGGATTAAGGATGTTAAGAGGCAGGTAACTGGGTAATCGTGTAGTTGATACAAACTTTATCAACTACACAATTAGTCAATAAAAGAAGGCACTACCTCCGCTGTGACTCTGCAGTTTAAATGTAGTAAAAGCTGTGCATGCAGGCAGCCTGGCTCCTATTACATACAAACTGCAGAGCCACAGCAGGGGTGACTCCTGGACCCAGCACAAGCCTGGACTGAGTCGGGGTTGTTCGGTCGTAGCTTGCGCCAGGTTCAGCAACCACTGTTCACTGGGGGTGTCAGCTCCCCTGCAGACAGGGGCTGCTGCGGAGCAGCCTCTGTTCGTAGCCAGCCCAGGCCACTGTGAACAGAGGCTGCTGCCAGAATAGCCTCTGTTCGTGGCGTCAGGGGCTGGCCGTGGACAGGGGCTGCTTCGTAGCAGAACCTCCTGTTCACAGAGGGCCCCAGAGGGGAGTTGGGACCTCCCCCGGACAGGGGCTGCTTTGCAACACAGCAGCTCCTGTCCGTGGAGGAGTCCTAGCTCCCCACTGGGTCCCTCTGTGGATAGGGGCAGCTGCTGGAGCAGCCTCCCCTGCCTCACACTGCTGCCACTGAGAGACGTCTATCAGAAAGAGGCAGCAAGGAAGTAGGGAAGAGGAGAGAGTACTTCAAAGCGGCAGTGCTGCATAGAGCCTGGGGCCAGATCCTGGGCTCCACGTGGCGCTGCTGATTTGAAATTGCACAGTGGCAACGCTGCATGGGACCTGAGGTCAGCTGCAGACCCCTCACTGACTCCAAACTCCATACGGCGTTGCCACTTTGAAACACTACATGGAGCCTGACGTTGGGCTTCCTGTGGCATTTCAAAGCAGCAGCCCACATGGAACCTGGGGTCAGCTGGGGACTCAAGAGTCCCCAGCTGACTCCGGGCTCCAATTGGTGCTGCCACTTTGAAACACAGCAGGGAGCATGGGACCAGCTGGGGACCGCTTGATTCCCCCGCTGGCCCCATGCTTCCCACAGCGCTTTTTCCTTTGAAATATAGCAACAGCCCTGGAGCTGTTGCTACATTTCAAAGGTGGAGGTGCCCTAATCGAATAATCAATGCATATCGCATTGACTATTCGATTAGCTAATCGAAATTTTACATCCCTAGTCAAAAGATAAAATTCTGTTGTGTTGCAGGCATCAATTTTCTTCTACTGGCTCAGGAGAAAAAAATTTTAAAATCACTGTCCTAGACACACTGATGTCAAGGCAAATAATGTCTCCATAAAAAAGGAAAATTAAATTTTAAAATAAAAACAAAACCAGAGAAATATAGGCATATCATAGGAAGTTTCAGAACATAATGGAAAAAATTAAAAAAAGTTCCTTGGATATTTATGAGATTGTGTGAAATATTTTTCCATTAAATTTTGATAAAATATGTGACATTGTTTTATTTTTCAGTTTCATAATTTTCACAAAGAGATATCCATCTATTTTATAGTAAAAGATCAATAAATATCAATGGCTTCAGAGGACAGTGTTCTTCTGAAAAATGATCTAAAAATAGTAGAGAAACAGAATGTCTCAAGATGACAAGCAATCTTTGTTACCACAAATACCTGACATAAGGAAAGAGAAGGGGTATTTCAGACTAACTTTATTATTGATGTTTTAGAGAGGTAGCCGAGTTAGTCTGTAACAGGAAACAAACTAACCCCCTCTGAAGCTTTTGAACATGCAAGGCACTGTATTCAGCCCTATGGAGCAAAAATCCATCCACTAGCGGTCATCTGAAGAAATGGGCTGTGCCCATGAAAGCTCATAATACCATCTATATATTTTGTTAGTCTTTAAAGTGCTACCAGACTATTTGTTGTTTTTTAAGTTTTTTTTTTAATACAGATGACAGAGTTGTTATTGCCCATCTGAAGGTATATCAAATAAGATGTAATTGTAAAAATTACTAGAGTATATCAATGAATACTTACATGCAGTGCTTTAGCTATTAATTCTGCTCCAATAGTGCCAATATCATTAAACATCAGATTCAGATAGCACACGGTTGAGTTTTCCTAGTGCACACAAACAAGAAACCAACACCAAACTTAAAAATAAATTTTAAAGAGCATTTTCTCATTTTAAAGAGCTAATGCCTCACATGATTTTAAATATCAGAGGGGTAGCCATGTTAGTCTGAATCTGCAAAAGCGGCGAGGAGTCCTGTGGCATCTTATAGACTAAGGGTATGTCTACAATACAGCGCTAATTCGAACTAACGGTTCCAGACTAAAAAACTACAGGCAGTCCCCGGGTTACGTACAAGATAGGGACTGTAGGTTTGTTCTTAAGTTGAATTTGTATGTAAGTCGGAACTGGTAGATATTGTAGGGGAAACTCTAGCCAAACATTTTTTTTAATTTTGGATAGCATAGGGAAAGGTTAACTCCCCTCTAATGTTTGTTTTGCTGTCTGTTCCCCTGTTCAGAAGATTTCACATCTATTTCTGTCCCTGTGACAAACTCAGGACTAAAGGAGTAACTCATCAAATACCAAACAGCTCTGCACCATGCTTTGAGCTAATAGCTTTATTTCCACACACCACCCAGGGTTCCAGGAGGAGGGTCCTTTTTTTGCTAACACAATGAGGCCAGCACTTTGTTTGTTTTGGTGGAGTCTTTGTTTGCCCAGGGAGCCCAGCATGTATAGGGGGAGGAGGGGCGGAGAGGCTGCTTTTGTCTGCTGTTC